GTTATGCGTGGTTGCCACGTACAGCCCCGTAAAAATTTTTGGCGAGAAAATGGCTAACTCCAGAACCAAGGAAGCTGGGAGGCTGAAATCTTTCAGGAAATGTCCCCTGCTCATCTACGACTTAAATTTATCAAATTCAACTCTCAGTCATGCGTGGTTGCCACGTACGGCCCCGTGAAATTTTCTGGCTGGAATTTGAGTAACTCGGGAACTGGGGATCTGGGATTTCAAGGGGATGTTCCCTGTCCAGGTATAGCGTGGACAATTAACTTCCTGAAATTCGAGGACCAATATGTCAGAAGTATCTAGCTACCGGAATTTCGAGTGATCTTGTTACAGCACGAAACACTGCAAAATGCATGATCGCACGGGCCCGCCCAGTGCGCGTCGCCAATGATTATGCATTTTTATGCGTTTTTTTCATCTATGCAATGCAGAAAACGCATATTGACGCGGGTGTGCCTGTGTGCGTCTGTACTGATTTTTCATCTCAAAACCTACAAAAGCTACAGGACTGAAACTTTGGGGAGTTAATCTACATGCACCTACGGGCCCCAGTCCCCAAAATGGACGCTCTTAACCGCATCATACCCACGTACGGGTTCGCCAAAGTTTTTGGCAGGGAAGCTGCTAACGCGGGAACCAGAAAAGCTAGAAAGCTGAAATTTTAACGTGGTATTAATGAGCTCAAAACCAGCTCCCAGGTATGCGTAGTTTCGACGCACGAGTCCGTGAAGTTTTTTTTCGGGTAAACTGCTGACTCGGGAATATGAAAAGGTAGAAAACTGGAATTTTAAGGGGATGTTCCCCATCCAAGTAGGTACTGAGCTCAAAACCAGCCCCCGGTTTGTGTGGTTTCTATGCATGAACCCATGAAAATTTTTTTCGGGTAAGCTGCTAACTCAGGGACCTGAAAAGCTAGAAGACTGTAATTTTAAGGTAGTGTACCTCGCCCACATATAATTAAATGACTTCAAACCCAGCCTCCAGCTTTGCGTAACTCCCCCGTACGAACCTGTGAAAATTTTCGGTGATAAGCTGCTAACTTGGGAACCAAAGAAACCAGAATGATTGCCTGCTAATGATTTTCACTGT